GAAGTCTGATACCCCCAGAAGGATGGCTCCTTGCTTTTGTCAGAGTCGCTCTGCATGTCTTTCAGTCTGGTGGCTTCGACTTCCCACAGGCCACACCTCGTGCCCACAGCGGCACATGAGAGTGGCCTTTGCTGCCGCAGTGCTACAGGTTCTGGGCTAGCCGAGACTTGGTAACCTGGCAATAGCCCTGGTGGCTCAGCGGTAGAATTCTCGCCTGCCACGCCGGCAGCCTGGGTTCGAATCCCGGCAAAGCCAGTAGTGCTAGAGAGACTTGGGAAGGCACAGTGACAGATATTAGGAAGAAATTCTTTACTCTGAGCATGGTGAGACACTGAAACAGGATGCCCAGAGTTGTTGTGGATGCCCCACTCCTGGAAATGTGCAAGACCAGACTTTGAGCAACCTGATCTAATGAGCCCCATCCACCCTGGCCTCGAATGGTATAGTGTCTACCATCCTCATTGTAAAAACTTTCTTCCTTCTATCTAGTCTGAATCTACCCTGCTTTAATTTAAAAACATTACCCCTTGTCCTATTCCTACAGGCCTAACTAAAAGGTCTGTCCCCATCCTTCTTATAAGCCCCGTTGAAACACTCAAAGGCGGCAATAAGGTCTCCCCAGAGCCTTCTCTTCTCCAGGTTGAATAACCATAAGTCTCTCAGCCTGTCTTCATAGCAGAGGGGCTCCAGCCCTCTGATCATTCCTGTGGCCATTCTCTGGATCTGCTCCCACAGGTTTGTGTCTTCCCTGTTCTGATTAGTTCTACTACTTATCACTTCCAAATAAATTAACACCTTAAAAATGTTCAATACATGCATAGGTTTGTTCTATTATTGTGTAAAGCTTTTTGGGACTAACTGAAAGTATAAGCAATATTAAGTGGTATTTAAATTATATACTACATGTTTATTATGGTGCATTTTTTTTTTCAAAATTTGTTTTATGAAAAATCCAAAGTATTTACAGTTTTTATAAGATAAACTCGTGTGCTGCAATTTACAGTCCAATGTACTAAGAATCCATAAAAAATCAGATCTTTTAAAACTTTGTTTGCAAATTAATTTCCTTAGGAGGCAGCTAAAACGGATAGTGCTGTATACAGAAGCAAGAACCAGCTTGATACATATGGTTTTCTTATCAGACACATGTACTTTCTACATTCTTTTAAATTTTCCTTACAAAAAGTCTATATAAACTTGTACGGTTTCAAAATTATAACTTGTACCCAATGCAAATATATGTATAAACACTTAGTTGAAAAGGGCTGAAACAGAACTGCTTTATTTAATTAAGAAATGAAAGCAATACTTGACTAAAACCAGCAATACAGTTTGGGGGTTTCATTAATAACATATTGTCATGTTAAATATGGTTTGATTGCAAAGCAGATTACAATTATGATTTCAGTAAAATGGCTGTACCATTTTATATGAGTTAGAAATTTGCCATTCAATAAGAATAGCAAGTTAAGAGACAAATATACTCTTCCAATCAAATCTACAGTACAGTATGTGCTTAATGCTAATTGTTATAAATGAAAATTTGTCCAGCCAAATTAATATGAAAAAATAAAATATTTATTTTGCAATCAAATTCTATCTAGCCAGCCACAAGGAAAGAACAGAGCCGAGCCTGGGGTCGGCCCTGGGTGTGTAACAAGAAGCCAGCCTCAGCAGAGGTTTTCCTCTATGCCCACACACCTCCATCCTGGCACAAGCGGTTTTTATAGGGAAAATTCCGCCTGAGGCCAAGATTTCAGCAATTAGTCTTTTCTTCTATCCAGAGTCCATATGTTAATAAGATTTTATTTTTTGGTGATGAGGGAGAACAATTCCGTGTCCAGAGTTGTTGAATCCCGTGATGAAATTTACAGAACGCTGCATTCACATGTATCTGCCCGAGGATTTCCATGATATCCATCTCGGGTCGTTTACGCGATGATCAGCGCCTGGGGTCCCCCCCCCCCTCCCCCATCTCTCCAGACATGGCCCATCTCCTGGCTGAGCTACATCCTTTTACTTGTAAATCGGGTGTCATGGTTTGACGCTGGCACAATGCCAGCGCCCCATGAAAATACAACTTACCAATCAAATGCTGTGAAATGTGATCAAGAACAGAGCAAAGCAGGCCAAACTTAATAACAAAAGAAAAAGCTTTATTACACTACTACTACTACTATAAAAGGAAAAGAAAGGAAAGAAAAAAACACACAAAATTCGAAATGAAAACCTTCCAAAACATTTCTCCTCCCTCCACCCAACTCCACCAAACCCCAGCGAGACCCATTTGGATCCTTAATCAAGTTTTCACCCTTCAATATAATCAATACTGAGTCCATCGGGGAAGAGAGGAGTCCCCCTTGCAACCATAGACCCCCAGGAAACACAACTGCCACCTTTTGTGTTTCCAATGTCACACGTGGCACCGCCCAGACCGGCCAATGTGACACTCTCCTTTCCATGTCACAGTGCTCTCACCACCGGGCATGGACAGAGACTGCTTATAGGGCCCCTTTAAGGATGCTTTGCCAAGGACCACCAGGAACAACAGTCCAGTATCACAATTCGGGACTAGAGTCCCCCCCCATTTTCCCCTGGGGCCGAGGGTCCAAAAGACAGAGATCGCCTTCTCTTCTTCCTGAAGATGGAGGGCATCCTCACACCCTCCTCAGCTCTCTCTCTGTCCACTCCAAAACTGGTAGTTGCTGCAGAAGGTCTCTTGGCCCACCAATGCATCCCCCTAAAATGCAGTCCCTCTTGAAAGAAAGAGTGGTTCAGTCTATGGTAAACAAGCAGAGTCCAGCCAAAAAGCCACTCTATCATCTGCCCCCAACCTTCTTCTCTAAACATCTGAGGTTTCAAGCTGTCTCTCTTTTCTTCAAATTCAGGAGGAGTAATATTTCATAAAGCCTTCATTTCTCAGGAAGGGTTAAAAGTCCCAACTCCCAAGGATGGCTCGCTGCCCAGGCTCCAGCTCCCACGGCCCGGCTGGGCACCTTGCGGCCCCCCTGCTCTTCTCCTTCCCTGCGGCGAACTGCTGATAAAACCACTGAGTCTCTGTCTCTTTTTCTCTCCTGGGAGATAGAGAGACTCTGGGGGGAGCGGAGACATCCCAGATTTCTCCACCCTTCCATCCGCAGGGGGCCAGGTCTAATTGCATTCCCTCCACCCTTGGGCCTACCTCCACAGGCCGCATGGCTCCCCTCCCCCACCCAGCCCGGGCTGGGCAGGGGAGAGGTCCGTACCATGCGGTGACCGGAACCAAAGAAGGACGAGTCCTCCTGGGAATTCCGCTTTTAACCCCTCTGTGTTCTCAGAGGCGTGTCCACCTTCAATTGGTCACCCCAAGTGTCAGTATCTAAACCTGACCCCTGACTGGTGAACCTCTTCCTTCTAAAAAAAAATTCTCTTCCCGTGTCAAACCATGACAATCGGGTTTCAACAAACACCGGGTTTCGCCTGCGAGGGTGGGGGGAGTCCTAATACAAATGTGTATACTCTAACAAATATTCAATATCACATATATCGTATTAGAAGTGGTGTGAATTCTATCTACTACACATAACACTAATAATGGAACTCTTATCTGCAAAAGTGTGTAGTATACATTAAAATTTATGTAGCCTCTACACAGCTTAATTTATTGTGAAGTTTCAACAGTCCAATTCATTACTGATTTTGTGTGAATTAGTTGAAACAAGTTTTTTTTGTTTTAATAGAAAATTTGAAATATACTGGTATTCAAAATGGTCATATAAAATTCTCACTTGTAGGTTACTGAATTATTTTGCCCCAATATTTTTGATTTCATCATTTTAAAAAAACTCACTTGATAATAAACACACATTAAAAATTTTCTAAATTAGTGACTTGCTTTAAAATACATTATTTATGTGTGACTTCCTTGTGCTAAGGCTGTGGCAAGCCGATTAGATGGCAATACAAATACTAAAGTTGGTGGATTTAGATAAAAAATTCAACTAATAGAAATGGCAGTACTTGTCATCCTGCTGATATAAAATACCCTTCTAAAATGCTATTTCTCCCAAAGTATTATGTTTGCATTCACATCACAGAACCCTCAAAGCACTTAAATGCCAAAGGCTTGCAGTCCAAGTGAAAGGAAATGCTCTTTGCTTTTACCGTCTGTGATTTTTCAGGATTTTCATCTTTGGTGACATTAAAGTTACTATCTCAGAGTTTCAAAGTCCTGTATGATGCATCTCTCTTTACTACAGCTGCATTTATTGCAACTACCCTATGAGGAAGTAAACCAGTATTTTAAACCTCTTTTTAAATAACCTCCAGTTTTGCAAATCTGCTTTCAAAATCCCAGTAAAAGGAATTTTTATAAAGTTGTATATATTATACACTGTGCTTTCTTGCTGAAGAGCCAAAATTTGGAAAAGGAATTGAGTCATGTAAACAACAAAGTGGATAGGCACAGTTGTTTTTTAAAGGCACAAATGTTATTCAATTCATATAAAAATAAATTAAATCTACAGCACTGATTCAAACAATCACAACATCCATACAATTTCCTAGCTGCAGAAGTAAATCCCTTCTGTCTTTTGCAACTTTGTAAACACATTGCACGTCAGAAAAAAAACCCTATATAATAATATATGATACACAGGCAGTAAGTTAAACTTTTTTTTTACACTTCTCTAATTCAGCTGGTTTTATGGCCTGAGTGGATAGAAGAACTGTGAGACTTTGCCTCTGCTTTCTTTTCAAACTGGCAGTTGAAGAATCTGAACAATTAATATTGCTTATGGAAAGCTGAAATATTTTTTACTTGCTTTCCTATATTTTTAGGTTAAATGTTTACAGTATAACATACAATTTCATACTTTCATTACAACTACTGATTATTATTTTGACTTAAAATATAAATTTATTAACGATCATTTACAATGTTAATTTCAGTGCCTTTATAAAGTAATAAAAAGTTTGCAAAATTACTTTTAAAAGTGCATTTTCTGTTCTGATGATTAAACCTCAGAGTAGATCAACATTTAAAAAAAAAAGAATGCATGTAAAAATAGTGTTTGAAAAGTAGAGAGGGCAGAGCAAGCTTCTTGTACGCCTTTGATGCAATGACTTCCACATGTTAATCAGCAGTCTGCCATATACCGTCCTGAAAAATAAAGGTAGGGTTTTTGCAATCAGTAGATAGAACAGACTTTTTCAGTATTTTTCTACAAGCAATTTGACTAACTACAGAAAACAAAAAAATTAAAACAGTTTTCAGCCACATTTTTGTGGAAAATTAATTATTTATGCATCACTTATTCAAGAGTTTAATAATTTAGCACTATATATCATATTAATTTGAATATGTACGCATATCAGTGTCTTACCAGAGGCAAATCTCTTCTTAAGGAGGGAAAGTCGATAGCCAGTGCCTACTAGCTCTACATCTATTCCTGAAAGTGTGCTTCCTTCAGTAATGAATTGCACTGCAAGAGTTGCTGGTTTACTGGGTCCTTCTGAAAGTTCAAATTTTGCTCTGAGGGATCCAGAACCTATAAAAATAACAAAACTGAAAGGCTGGTTGTTTTTCAAGACCAAGGTAATCTCCCAGAATTTTTAGTAGTAAGGAGCAGAACTAACATGGTGATCTTTAAGAGCTATTCCTGGTTGCAGTCCTATATAGATTTTCAGAAGAGATGAGAGTACAACTATCTTTTTCCAATACTCTGTTTAAGACAGCGACTAGTGAATGATTTAGAGGAAAGCAATACACATTTCTACAAGATTATACTCATAGAAGAATGTGTATATAAGACAACCTGGTAGTCTCTTATTACATTAAATACCGGATTCTTCCCTATACTCATCATTTATGCTTCCTGGTTTATCTTGTATGTAGTACTTTTCTTTAGCAGATTTTAAAGTACATTAGAATATTTAAATGCTGTCACGATTTGCCTGAATGAATGCACATGAACAAAACCATTGGAAGAAATGCAGCTGAACAGTAATTTAGCAAGAGGAAAGCAATTCTTTTTTCTAATAAATGCAAGGTTTGATTAAATACATTTCTGAAAAAACAGTTGCTTTTTCATAGACAATGGCAAAATTCACTTCAGTGCCATTATAAAGTAGTAATAGTTCAAAATTGCTTTAAGTACACCTTTGTAGTCAATGCAAGACATAAAACCCCCCAACATTATTGTTGGTCTCCTTTTCTAGTTCTTAAACAAGACTCTTCTTGTTCTCGCAAAATATGCTGGGAAAAATAGAGATTTAAACAATGAATTAATGGAATAGCACAAATCAAGTATTTTTATTTATTTAAAACAACTAGTCAGCAGGAACTGCTAAGTGAGAAGGAAATCTAGTAACTGAAATGTTACTAGGGTAAAAGATGGAATTGATGAATGAAATTGTTTTATGCAATGGTTTGTTCTTGGCTTGAAGTCTATTTCTTCAATAGGTCTGTGATAATTTGGATAAATTGGAATTTCTTTTCACTGTAAGTATGGAAACATATATTCAAGTGTTTCAAAAAAACATTGCATCTGCAATGGCTGCAAGGGCTGTGACATCAACTGGACCTCAGGGAAAGGCAGCTGGGCAGAGGGCAACTATTGGTACCTTACAAAATGCTATATAAATTACCACTCTGAACAGATGTACATAGATTTTTTTCCTGGAGTTGTACATGGTGAAAACAAAAAAAAAAAAAAAAAAAGTTGGTCAAGAATTGTCTACAGTCGAGTCTATCTCAGTGCAGGGCTTTTGGATTTTTCTTTTCCCCAGTTCTTCCACTTACCTCTTTCTACTTTATCTCAATTTTTATGTGAGAAAATGTGGACAATCAGAATACAGATATTAAATGTATTTCCTTTTCAATGACTGCTCATTTACAACTAGCACTGATGTAATTATTTCCTTGCCCAGTCTAAACTCTTTTAGTGGCACTAGCTGCTTTCAAGGGACTTCACTATTTTGCCTTTTATAATCAGTTAATACTTTTACATCTCACTGTTAATGGAATCTCTCAGGAGAAATTTCATTGAGAAGAAGGTGAACTGATAAACAGGATATGGCAAGTGTTAACAGGCATGAAGACATAGAGGCTAAAATTATTACCTTTTTACTGCTATCATTTGTCTGTACAAGAAAACAAAAGAGTTCAACTTGCCTCCATTCTCAGACTTCTCTGAGATGCTAGATATTTTCCAATAAGCTTTCATCTGATCTGCATTCCTGTAAGGCAATGGAAGGTTAGTTATAAGCATCAATTTTTAGAATTTCAATTATTTTTATTATTTTCACAGATTTACACTGGTACCTTACAGACCATGTGCCTATAACCTACATCTCTCAATGGATGTTTATAAAAATATTTCAGAATTTTAAAATGAGTTTGTGGAAAACTATACAAAGCAAAAAAGAAAAAAGAAGGGTATACCTGCATTATCCCTGAGCTCACATCAGAGCTCAGACATACATAGCACGTTTTTATACAGTTATCACTGTTCTATGCCCAGGTTATGGCTCCACAACTCAAAACCCTCTATGGTCTCAAAAGGTAAGGTCAGGACAAAAATGCTGGAAGGAGTTTGAAAGCTGGGTCTTTATGCTTTGTAGAGTTGTGTTTTTTATGTTTTATTACATTTGTATTATGTATAAGTTTGTTCCATGTACCCCCGGTCCTATAACGATTCCCCCCCCGGGTCTTCCCGTCTCTCCCCGCGGGTCTGTTGTCCCCAAGAAATGCCAAGTCACTGTGTTTACCCCCAAATGCCTGTCTGTCACTCGGTATCCCTCCCCCCCACCTGGAATCTTCCACCTGGGACGCTGGGCGATAGGCAGATGACCTGGGACGCTCCACCTGTCCGTCCTTCATTGGATGTACCCCTGTACCCCACTACCTTCAAACCCCCCGTGGCGTTACCCCATTGGCTGCCCCAGTTTCCCCCTGTTCTGTACTTAGTCCGCGCGCACAGCGCGCTCGGGGCTTTCTGCTGGCTGGCACCAGCGCACCCCGCCCCGCCCGCTCGCGCGGCCCTGACAAACGCCGGCGTGGCTCGCCTGGCTCCCTTCGGATTATTGTTTTCCCCATTGGATTGCAATAAAACGGAATTCGCCCCCCGGAGAAAGACTCTCTTCATTAAACCGCTGTGGGGTTCGCTGATTGCTCTCCAAACCCACACAGCTCCGCCCAAAGCCCGCGAGGGTTCAGCGGGAGGCGCTGGAGATCTGCCCGCTCCCCTTCTCCCCAGGGCTAGCCGGGGCAAGGGAAAGCAGAGGGGAGAAGAGAGCACCGACGGCAATGCTTCATAATGATAGTATGAGGGGGAGCACTATTGTTTGTTTGCCCCTATGTGAGACTCCTGGCTGTGTGAATTTTATTCCATTTCCATTCTAGTAAAATAAGTTGGCAGAAGTGACTCAGGGTTTAAGCTAACTTCTGATGCTGTAAAGGGGAAGAAAAGCAAAGGGAACCAAGAACCATAGTCTCTAAGTTGACAGGGCATTTAAACTCTTTCAGCACTTTGCAGCTGTTCCATCAAAGAAAAATCGACGACTTAAAGCTGTGAGCAGCATGAAGTGATGATAGTTTGAAACTGTCTTTGGCATTGGTCTAGCAGGAGTGAAATGCTCACACAAGTAGCATAGATGGTAGTGGTTACTTGCAGGAGGTTGAATCAGAAAACATTTATTCTTTAAAAAAACCCCAAAACTCTACCACCCAACCCACTAGACCAAGCATATAGTAGGAGACACATACTAGAGCTGCCTGGGACATGACTGTATTTTTTGGTCCACTTTCAACGCTCAAAATTCCAGCCTTGTGTAGTTGGCTAGGTAAAAGAGAGAATGCATGGGGCTCAAGTCCCTTACTCTGATTATTCTGAAATGAAATTGTCACTAAGTTTTGAGTCTTTCTACATAACACTAAGTTTTCTGAGTGGGCATTCCTGCCTTCACTCAGGTTTCATTACTGAGGGGTTTGTTGAAGAAGCCTGAGCAGGGAGGGGGGACACTGGCTTCACCAGAAGTTCTAGTCAAGTTGGGGAGGCAAGATACTGACCCTGCCCTTGCTCAGAATAAACTTAAGGTGATTTAGCTAAAAGTATTGCTCCCTTGAAATACTAAGTCAAGAAAGATTCAGTCTTGACAGGATTTTTTCCACTTAAAATGATATTGTATTACCACTGCAAAACCATAGGCACAGTTATTGAACTGTGCTCACCTTTTGCTCCAAGTATGTCACATTGCCTAGCCCTGCTATCCTCTGCTGTTTTCACAAACTTGCAGAAAAGATCTTCTGAGATGTCTCACTTTCAATTGCTGCTGTAAATGGCCTGCAGGCTTAGAAGGTGGGGCCAGGTAGGTGTGAGTCATATAATAATCAGCATGACATTTGAATTGAGAGACAGTGCTACCTGGCTCATGAAGAGCTCCTCATCTACTGAAGTTTTAAAATTTATTTAAATTATAAGAAAATTTTTAAGCTAGAACCACCAAGAAATATTTTTAAGAACTGCATTTCTTCTACTCTCTCTATATATAACCTATATATCTTGATATGTTTAATACATACACACAGATATATATGTTTTTCAGCCATGAAAATATTTTTGTTTCAAATCATGTTATTTAAAATATCTATCCTTTCTATTGGCAAAAAGAAAGCAAACATTGGAAATTTCAGAAATGCTTGTATTCAGAAATGTTTGTATTATTGCACAGTTGGAATGGGTGCATATAATCTCATTTTAGTCTATGTGAATTGGCTGTACATTATCTGTTTTGGACCAGAAAATGTCCAAAACATCTGATACAATGCATTTTATCAAGAGGAAAAAAATTATCTGTTTCTTCTGGTGACATTTTTCAGGTTGACACTAATGAATACTCTGAAATGCACTTTAAATAATAAAAAGAAAAGCATTAATATTACCATTTTGCAGGTGGAAGTGATTGCATGTCTTTTACTCCACCATCTACTGGTACCACAACCTGCACATTAGACAGCATACTAGGCACATTCATAGACTCTGGATTATATTTATAATCCATTCTCACATCAGTAATGCTAGCATTACATTTCCAGTAAATTGCAAGATTCAAGGGAGTGGACTGGATGTCATTTGAAGATACCTGTAAAAGAATAAAAGGTCTTAATTAAAATATTCCTGTTTTGGGCAGAATTAGGGAAATATGGTAATGAGTATAAATCCTGACAAATGACCAAAAAAAAACAATTGACCTCTGTGCCCTTAATCTTAGAATTCTGATGGTTGTTATAGCCTAAAGTAATTCCTGTTGGGTTTTTTGTTGTTGTTGTTTTTTTGGTTTTTTAAATTATTTAAATAATTTTTAAAAGGTTTAAACTACCTCTGGCCCACAAGGCTCATTCCTGTTCTGGCTTTCATAAGTCAAAACAGCTTGTTTTTTTTTTTAGTCTTCAACTAGGCCTTATGACACTGACCATCATCCTCTGGGCCTGTCGTTTCAGCCAGTTTTCAATCGCCCTTGCTGTCTGCTAATCTAGCCGACACTTCATCATCTTCTCTATAAGGATGTGTGCCAAAAGCCTTCCTGAAGTCTAGGTAGACAATATCCACTGCTGTCCCCTCATTTACCAGGCCAGTCATTTCATCACAGACAGTTATCAGATTGGTCAAGCATGGCTTTCCCTTGGTGAAGCCATGATGACTACTCTCAATGACCTTCTTGGCTTTCATGTGCCTCTAAGTGGTTCCCAGGATGAGTTGTTCCATTATATTGTGAGAGGTGAGAATATTATGCGTCTCCATATATTACAATTGATTAGTTACAGCATTCCAAAAATATGCAATTACAAAATCAAAATAGAATAAAATTACAAACTTAAATCTTGACCAAACCCCCTAAATTCAAGAAAAACTTAACTTCATTAAGGAATAGTTAGTGCTTTAAGTTTACACACATGAATTGGATCAAAGTGTCAGCAAGCTGAAATAGGTCATGAATGAACAGGGAATGTCATGAAGGCATAACATGAATTCACTCAGCCTTGGCAGAACCGAGGCACTGAAAACAGTGATGCACTCAGAACTGGCCTAGATGAGAGATGACAATTCATCTGCACTCAAACAGGCAAAGAACAATTCTTATAATTTCTGTATAGACCAGAGTTCTTAAAAAAATCCAAAGGGAAAAAAGTGTTTACCTGATACTTTAAAACATCCGCATTATAATAGGATGCAGATGGATTGTGCTCTGATAATTTCTTGAGGTAGACAGTTATGGCTTGCATGTTCATCCAAAAATCCTTAGTACTAGAGTCACTTTGTGACTGATCACTACAAAGAAAAAGAAAGGTAGGAATCAAAAATCAACACTGAGTTTTATTATTTCTAATGTCTAAAAAATCAAGGCTAGATCTTTCCCCTTCTTTATTGTTCCAAGCAAGAATTTGTTTAAATGCTTTATAACACCTAATTGTATCTTCCTAAATATTAAGACAAATTAACAGTTTGTTGTAGCTCAAAAAACTTCTCCTTCCAGGTTGTTGAGCAGTGAGTTTCCTGCACAGATGATCTGCTTCACAAGATGGAGTGAATGCCAAATTTGGATTTTACATTTAATAAAAACCAATTTTAATACAGTCAGGCGCCATGAGACTGTATGGCAGATGGGAATGACAGTGTTGTTTGAAGAGGAATGTTATCCAATTTGTAATAAATCCTAGAATCATTATTAGCTTTTGTTATGACAGCTTCGTTAATGCATTGAATTAAAATTTGTGCTGAAAGTGTTACCACGCGTTCACTTATTTATAGTGTAAGCTTTCAAAATATTTTCAGTTAAAAGTTTCTCAAATACTTATAGCTGCATTTAATCTTAGTAACAATTTATTATATAATTTCTATATGTAGCTAAGAGTACACATGACTACAGAAGCAAAATCCTGGTTGAGAACTACTGGAGCATGAAAAAGTGTTTTGCAAGTCAAGAATATTTTCAGTTCTGGTGGCATCAGGTTTATTTTTTAATAAGGATGAAGCTTTTAAGAAAACTTATTCAGAAGCAAAATTCCAATCACTTAAGAATCAGAGCTCCATAGATCATCTGTGGATACATAGAGGAACTGCACCAGATGCCTTGGAGTGCCTACTTAGAACAGAGGCTAGAGAGCGTTAGAGAATAAAGTAGGTATTTATTAAAGGCTTTCAATAGATATACCTTGGGCAGTGCAAAAGCCTCGAAGAGGCTAGCCGAGATGGAGGAACGTCATGAGTTTTTCAAGGAGATAAAAGTTTGGTCTATTTGCATATCAGAGGTTAATTGTCCAAGTATAGCTTCAGGTAATGAAGTCACATTCTCCCAGTTTGCTCCCCCTCAATTCACTTTTGTTTATACTTTTCAAGGCCTGAGGCAGATAGTGTCCTTGGTTCTCAGGCCTGGAAAGATTGTTTTGTCTGACCAAAATGTGAAGAGATCTTACTAACACTTTATATGCGGTTCAGAGTTATACACTAATGCAGTACAGAATCTGAAAAATATAAAAGCTAAAACTTAAGGCATCACACCAGTCCCCAAGGAGGCATGCAGAAAGTGCATGCAGAATGAAAGCTGTAAAGAAGCACCTGGAACACAGTAAATATGACTGCAATGGGTTGAATGTGCCAGAACAGTTATTTACGTACCAGTAGCCTGTCCAATTTACTTAGAATTTGGTTCTCAATACAGTGTTGTCATTCATGCAATTTCCATTTTCAGTAAAATATATAGATAAACACTTATAACAGAGGCCTTCCAAAATGTAAACAAATGAAACCAGTAGCAAAATCCTTCTGTTTTCTCCTTCAGAATTTCTGACATCTCCACAAGTATCAGTCACATAAAAAAGTTTAATCTCTATAAATACTAAGCCAATTACAGTCATTGCAGTATATGAAATGTCAAATTATTACCATATGGGTTTAATTTCATAAATATCCAGTGCATGCATCCTTTCTAATTAGAGGTGAAGTGTTACAATACTCAGACAAGAATACTAGGCATTTTCACTTTTTTCCAAAATATAATTTTTCAGTAGAATTCACTGTCAGATAAAGCTCTGTTAACATTTCAGTTATAAACTGTCATGTCAAAGAATGACAAATTTAATTTTGTATTAATCATTATTTACATTAAGTATGAATTATGACAATAAAATTAATACAAAAGAATGGATAAATGTGGTTTGATTGTTTCAAATAATTTTTCCAATAAATGAAATTGAAAGTGCTCAGCTGAAACAGATATCTGCTTTTTTTTCCTTTTTTTTTTTTTTTGGAAAAGATGTCCAAACAATTACTTTATTATTATACTCAAACAGCAGCTTTTCTTCTTAAGAATTCTCCTAAACATGCTGCTATACACTTGAGAGGTATGGTTTTGTAATGGATCTGATGTACCACAGACATGATAAACCTTAAAACCTATGCTAATAACTGACAAATGAAACCATTGTTATTATTGTATAAAGAAACCCATATGACAATGTGTCCTATTTTTGGCAATTTTTCTCTGTAGTCATATTAGTTACATTGTTCATATAGTTTGATTAGAAAAATGGTTTTTGTTTGGTTGTTTTTAAAATGTTTCTTAAACCATTTTATTTATCAAACATGTGTAAAAATACAGCTAAAATTAAAAACTCTTTTTGTTTCCTGTTATATTCAGCCTAAGTTTCAAGTCCAGTAATCTCTGAAATTTTTAATGGTAGCAGTGAAAAGAAACTGAGCTAAACAAGATTAATTAAGTTATGTATAAGCAAATCAAGATTGTAGAGAATTCTGATTTACATATACAAAAATTCACATTTTAAAATTCATGTACTTTACTATTATATTAAATGAAAATACAAAACCTGTATACAAGTTGTGCATTTGGAAGAATGTGCTCTAGTTTGCTTGTATTTTTTACCCTGAAGCAGAGCACTGCTGGAGATGGGTTGCTGGTAAAGACTTTAATAATCCCACTTGGGAATGATAATGTCATATCACCAGTGATCTTCACAATACATCTAGAAGAGAATGAAAATATCAATTTTATTGCAATTCATTAACTTCCTAGTTTTGATATTAATTTTAAATCAGTCTTACTTTTACAATCTGATGAGCTGATTTCAAAGCAGAAATAAGACAGACTTGGCAGTGTGCACTTGCAGCCCAGAAAGCCAGCTGTATCCTGGGCTGCATCAAAAGCGGCATGACCAGCAGGTCATGGGAGGTGATTCTGCCCCTCTACTCCACTCTTGTGAGACCCCATCTGAGAACTGCATATAGTTCTGTGGCCCCCAACACAAGAAAGATGTGGACCTGTTGGAGCAAGCCCAGAGGAGGCCATGAAGATGCTCTAAGGGCGTGAGCACCTTTGCTATGAAGACAGGCTGAGAGCTAGGGCTGTTCAGCCTGGAGAAGAGAAGGCTTCAGAGAGACCTCATAGCACCTTCCAGTACCTGAAGGGGTTCCACGAGAGCTGGAGAGAAACTTTTTGCGAGATCATGTAGTGATAGGAGAAGGGGGAATGGTCTTAAGCTGAAGGAGGGTAAGTTTAGGTTAGATACTAAGAAGAAATTCTTTACTGTCAGGGTGGTGAGGCACTGTAACTGGCTGGCCAGAGAGGTTGTGGACTCCTCATCCCTGAACGTGTTAAAGGCCAGACTAGATGGGGCTCAGAGTAACCTGGTCTAGTGGAAGATGTCCCTGCCCATGGCAGGGGAGTTAAAACTAGGTGATCAGTTTTTTCAAATATCTTAATGTCAAAAGAATGCAGAAATAATATTGCCCTGTTACAGGATGATGATGGTCATCACAAACAGGGACATGGACAAGGCAGAGGTGTTTAACACTTAAAACACTGATGATGGACCAAGGCAGTCTCAGTGCCCTGAGATGAAGGACCATGACTGCAAAAATTATCAACTCCCAGTTGACTCTGAACTTGTGCGGGATCTGCTGCTCCAGCTGGATCCTTACAAATCTATGGGGCCTGATGGGATTAATTTGAGAATCCTCAAAGAGCTGGCTGATGTCATTGCAAAGCCTCTCTTGGTGATTTTTGAGTGCTCTTGGGAATCTGGAGAGGTCCCATCTGACTGGAGGCTGGATAACATTGTCCCAGTTTTCAAGAAGGGCAAGAAGGAGGACCCCGGAAACTACAGGCCTGTCAGTCTCACTCCAGTACCTGGTAAAATAATGGAAAAGATTATTCTGGGAGGCATTGAAAAACAGTGGGAGACCAATGCAGTCATTGGTCACAGCCAGCATGGCTTCATGAGGGGAAAGTTCTGCTTGTCAAACCTGATTTCCTTCTATGGCAAAGTAACCGACCTAGTTGATCCAGGAAAGCCAGTAGATATAATCTTGTTGGACTTCAGCAAAGCTTTTGACATGGTCTCTCACAGGATCCTTCTGCACAAAATGTCCAGCACATATCTGGATAACCATGTTATGTGATGGGTGAGCAACTGGCTCATGGGTCAGGCACAAAGGGTTTTAGTAAATGAGGTAACATCAGTCTGGTGACTGGTCACTACTGAGGTTCCACAGGGCTCTGTCCTCAGCCCAGTTCTCTTCAACATCTTCATTAATAATCAGGACACAGGACTCAAAGGAATACTAAGTAAATTTGCCAACAACACTCAATTGGGAGGAGCTGTCAACTGCCTTGAAGACAGAGAGACCTTGACAAATTAGAGAGATGGGCAATCACCAAGTGTATGAAGGTTAACAAGGGCAAGTGCTGGATTCTGCACATGGAACAGAGCAACTCTGGTTGTGTGTATAGACTTGGGAATGAGATGCTGGAGAGCAGCACCATAGAAAGGGACCTGGGGGTCCTGCTCTATGGCAAGTTGAATGAGTCAGCAGTGCCCAGGCAGCCAGGAGAGCCAACCATGTCTCGAGGTGCATCAAGCACAGCATTGACAGCCAGTCAAGGGAGGGCATTGTCCCATTCTGCTCTACACTGGTGTGGCCTCACCTTGAGTCCCGTGTGCAGTTTTGGGTATCACAATATAAGAAAGACATTAAGCTATAAGAGAGAGTCCAAAGGAGGGCTATGAAGATGGTAAAGGGCCTAGAGGGGAAGCCATAAGAGGAGTGGATGAGGTCACTTGGTCTGATCAGCCTGGAGAAGAGGAGACTGAGGGGAGACATTGTGGTCTTCAATATCCTCACGAGGGGAAGTGGAGGGACAGCACCAGGACAGGACCCAAGGGAATGGCCTCAAGTTGTGTTAGGGGAGGTTTAGGTTGGATATTAGAAAAGGGTTCTTCACCCAGAGGATGGTTGGGCATTGGAACATGCTCCCCAGGGAAGTGGCCACAGCACCAAGCCTGACAGAGTTTGAGAAGTATTTGAACAATACTCTCAGGCACATGGTGTGATTTTTGGGGTGGTCCTGTGCAAGGACAGGAGTTGGACTCAATTATCCTGATGGGTCCCTTCCAACTCAGCATATTCTATGATTCTAAAATAAATTTCAAATTAGGGTAATATGGCACAATAACAATGTATTATCACTTTCAACTTGGAAGTCAGATGAAATAAGAAAAATGTTTAGCTGGTTAAGCATGCAGTAGTATGGGTGGTTATTTTTCAGGATTTGAAAACATAGCAGGACTATGCTTAGGCAAGGCCTAAGTAGTATATCAAGCAGTATGACAGAGGGAATGAGGTACTTTTAAGCTGTTTAAATTTACATACAGCACCTACCTGACTGTAGTAGAAACCCTTCTTATTTTTGGTTTTCTTACTAAACATATTTTTGTAAAGCAGGGATATATGAACTCCTAGTCAGATGCAGGCCAATAGAAAGTGATAAGTCACTGATGTCAGTTATATCAGGGGAAAAAACCCTGTGAATCCACCTTCTAATGTATATATATTTTCCCCCCAAATACTAAAAGTACAACCAGTGAATTCTTTTATTGTAACTTATTGCATTCAAAACAATTTACTATTTAACTAACTTTGTGGGATCTGCTCCTTTAAAGTAGGCGTTAACAGATTCAGTAAGGGCTACTGCAACAGGCACGATGTCCTGGTTTCCAAGTCTGACAGGGCTGGGACCACGTGAAACACCTAGAATACATACAGTGTATAGGTTTAATTTTCAAAAAGCTTAGCAACAGATTTCAGAATGGTTGACTACGTCTGTCATTTTTATGAGAGTTTACTACCATCATGGTCACAACAGAGTCTGAAATATTATTTGAAAAGCATGTAGAAAAATATAAATTTAATACAGTACAATCACACCATCAAAATACTGCTTAGCAGAATAGAAAAACAAGACTATCAATATGACATTTTGTAAATGGACAGGCACAAGGAAATACAGATGAGACAGAGGAACACTGTATTAAAATGGCTACTGATGAAACTGAAGTCAACAGATCCAAAGAAAATTAGATGTTAACTACAGTACTTTAAAAAAAGTTGCCACAGTATGCTTATAGTATGGAAAAATGTATGATAAAATAGTCACAGAAATGCAAAGAATTCAGTTGGAGTATGTATGAACATAAATGCACATGCATTAATATTACCCCACATAAGTGAACTGTTGAACATTCTTTTAACTATTTCAGACAACAGAGATTGCAATTTCAAAATAGAAATTGTTGGAGAAATATTTTGCTAATTTTCTAATGTTTACCTAGTAAAGATTCTGGGAGTACCTTGGAGGTACCTGGAAATATGTATCAGTTTATGAGAAAAATAATTACCAGGCCAGTGTCAGCATTCACATGTCTGTGCCTACACAACAAAGCTACAATGCATAACTATAAAAAGTAACGTAAACCTCAGCTAAAGCCTTTTGAAATTACTAAAATGTCAAATGCAAATTGACAAAAGCATTTGTAATGGGATTTTACTTTTCAGTAGTGCTTTATATGTGCACTGACTCTAAGATACAGCACTTGAAGTTCTATCTTTTTATTAGTGCAATAGCATAGTAGAAAGCATCTTACTAATATTTTTGTACCACTGGTGAAACAGCTTGTATCAGATGCTTGCTGCAAGTTCTCAGGACAGGATGTCAAAGAGCTGTGACAAGGTGGACTTGTGGTATTTTAGGCTGCAGTCAAGCTCACAGGTCCAGTTCTGAGACCTTCGGCAGCACCAGCAAATCTGGCTTTGATGCTCTGCCACCTGCCGCAGCCCCAACCACTGTTAACAGCCCTTCAGCTGTGCTGACACAACAGCTAATGACACAAACATGCAAACAGTTGCATTGACACACTCAAAGAGGTTGCCAAAGTGCAAAATAAAAGACAGCATCATTGGCCATAAAAAGAGCAAATAAAAGTCTGATCAAATTGTTTTAGTTCAGTTTAGGAACAATGATTCAGGAAATTTAAATATTGGCTATACTGCTGGCATAAAAATGAAATGTATTTCAAAATATTTTATTTTTTATCTGCATCTTCAAAGCCTTGCGTTTGTTATTTAGAAATACAGAAATGCTTTTATCTTCTTGTCTTATGAGAATGAAGATTGTCAAAGTAAAAATATATTTCTTTTTCTTCCAAGAATGTAGTAATGAATAACTGAAGAATAAAGAAAGACCAATTTTCAGCTTGTTGGTAGGGAGGGGGGAATAGATGGAAAATTGTGTTGTATAAAAGTGACTATATCAAGTTTTGGTGACTTCAGCAACATATAACTTATGTACTTGAGCTTTCAAGCTACTTGTATCTGCCAGGCACCAGAAATAGCTGGAGAGATTTGTTTCAAAATAAATACAATATTATTAACTGTAGTGCATAAGGATGTTAAAGTAACATATAAATCTGCTTCTAGTATAATACCTGGTGGTGTCTCATAAAGTTTTTCAATTGTAGGAAGTGTTCCAATCAAAAGATCATCCTCTATTACATGTAAATGAAACAAAACATGGCAACAAAACAAAGTATTTCAAGAAAAAATAGATGTTATAGGTGTTAAACAATTTAATTACTTAAAAAAAAACTCATTGCAAATGAAAACAAAGCTAAAGCATAAAAGAAATTCAATCATGCATGACTACAAGCTCATTTGAAACAAGATAATTATAGTTAACTCAATTATTCAGAACAAATGGGGTAAGAGAAACACTGGATTGTGTAAAACCCAAAAGAATACAGACAGTAGTGCAGAGTATATCCTCATGCCATCTGCATTGCCCTTTCCAGGTCTCCAGGACTGTTTAATTCATACAATCAATGCAGGTGAAACTGGCTTTGTTTATTTTTGCTAGGCCAGGTTAATAACCATGTCAAACACTGGTGTCAGTGCATACCTCCTTACCTCCTCCCTCACCTCACAATTTCCCTCTGTCACTGTCTCCAATAACATACATACAGCTGGGGCTATTGATGCTGCTGCCACCAATTTCTAGTTCCTTGGCACCAGTGCAGAGGCCTGTGGAAGTGAGCCTGGATGGACTCTGGCAACCAAAATATCAGTTGTCTTTCTATGATACTTCTCAACATTTGAGAAACTGGTGGACACCAAACTGTGCCAGCACAGCAACAGCTAAGGCTACATAGACCTTACTGTCTTTGGTCCTGAACAGGGTGGAAACAGCTGCATTGCTTTCAATGCAGAACTCCTAATAGAAGCTGTGCAGATACTCTTCTGATGTGCTGAACCTGAGTGAGGAATCCTTGGCATCAGTAACATTCAGAAATACCTGAGCATTAATGCAAGAGTCTAAGTTTACTTGGGACTAAAGTGGTAATAGTGTTCAGGAATGAAATACTTCAAATCTACTACAGAAACAAGTTAAAATGTCCCCCCACAAGTAATCCCCCTCTCCTGTACCACAAGTTTCCTTGTATTTCTTCTGAAATTAGTGGCAGCACAGGAAGACTGATTTGCTTTTCATATTCATCTTTATTGTTTGGTTGGTTGTTTTGCTTTCAGTGAACACCTCTGTTTAGCTTATAATACTTCACTAAATTGAAGAAAAATATTAATTGGTTTAATTTCTTTGGAAACTGAAATTACAGGATAACAAATAAAGTAAAAATAACATTAAAATAACTCAGTTTTGGAACATTTATATGAATTCAAATTTATCAGTATCCCAAAATATTTCTGTACATGTACAACAACATCTTTGAACAAATACATAACATTGTGCTTGATGAATAGCACACCAAATACAAATTCATGAAATATTTTAATTTTGAAAGATATTTCACTAGAGAATATACCATAATTGGATCCATGGTCTAATCTAGCCAAATCCACTGTCTTGTCTCTCATGTCATTTAGAAACAGGTAATGCTTGAAGTACCTAGACTGAATTCACATATGGAACAGCTAACTCCAAGGAACGGTGTTCCTAACAGGTGGAACTCAGTGGCAGAATATTACCATTTATAAAATGCATTAAAATGGTTAACTTACCAACTGTAGGTGTGTTTGCTGCACTGAGGGAAACAGAAGATATTGAGGAAATGCTCTCTGCATGTGCCAAGGGAGCTGCAGGTGGTGGACTTGAGTTAGAGGTCAATGGAGGGCTGAATGGCCTAGGCTTAACACGAGAGATCATGAGGGTATTACAGAGAGAGAAAGGGATTTTAAAAAGACTGTAAATAGCCCTTCATTTCATTCCCCAATCAATTTTACTGTGTTTCTCAACATCTTTCTTATTTTCTATGGAAATGGATCTCATTATTTCAGAACTTATCATTATTAATTTTTTGCCCGGATAGGTAAGTCTAATGTATTTGATTATGTAACAGTCTGACAATAACTGCTGTAACACAGTAGCATAACCTAACCCTATAGCCCTGTGGATGTGCGCAGCAAATGTGGATTTTCAGAGCTAAAGGAGAGCTACTAACAAAATGGAAGTGAGCCCAGCAGAGGGCAACTAAAATAGCTGAGGACTGGAGGACATGAGAGAGAGGGAGAGGCTGAAGGAGGACCTAGGTTTGTTCAGCCTGGAGAAGAGAAGTCTAGGAAGGGATCCACTAGCAGTCTTTCACAAGCTACAAAGAAGATGGAGCCAGTCTCTATTCAGAGGTGCAAGTGCTATAAGAAAGGAAATTTCAGCTGAAAATAGGGGAAAAAAATTCCTTCCTGTAACCTTGTGGTTAAGCCCTGGGACAAATTGTCCAAAGAGGTTGTGAGATCTCCCTCCCTGAAGATTTTTAAAACTCACTCAGCATGATAGTAAAAGGGTTTTAAAATCATGAGATTTAGGGTTAACAGAAAAACATAAACTTAGTAGGCCTTGGAAAGGTAAATACCTTTAGCACAGGGAGAAATAGTACTATGTAGCTAGTACATAATAATTGATATAATTGTTAGATGTGACGACTGTTTAGTAATTAAATATAATTACTGTTTAATCAGAAAGAATAATAATGTGAAACTGTGGTCATGGACCTAAGAAAGAGCACTATAAACTCATGTCAATGTATACAATAGAACAATGTAAGTTTACTAAATAATGTGTAAGTTATACAACGATAGGGTATAAAATACGTTCAGCTCGAAACTTATGTTCGGAGTCAGATTTGGGTTTGTACCCCGACTCCCAGAGCTCTTAATAAAAGCACCTGCATATAATCATATCCCGTGATTATGTGTTTCCGAACACTAACAAGCATATCCTTGACCAGCCTAATGCAATTTTGAAGTTGGCCCTTCTTTGAGCAGGAGATTGGTCTAGAGATCTTCAAAAGTCTCTTCCACCCTAAATCTGTGGATAATTTTATTACCCATTTAACTGTTAAGGTATTAAAATAACTAATGAACAATTTGTGATTCATCTATCTAAAAGGTACTGGAACTCCTGAAGCATCTGCTTTGTTTGAGTAATTTTTTTTTTTTTTTTGTTCTATCACACTTGTCATTGAGTATATGACTTTTATATAGACTTTGAGAATTGTAAAAGGACACGACATATAATGAAGATAACTTGCAATCTTCCACTTATACACTTATATCCAGATAATAGCCAATTTCCAACACATGTAACTTTTTGCAGAATCATACTTTATAGCAGAACTGTGTTGATTTGGCACAGCCTGGTTTTTTTTGGTTTTTGGTAGCGGGGGAGTGCCACAGAAGTTTCCTCTGTGAGAAGCTGCTTGAAGCTTCCACCATGTCTGACAGAGCCGATCTCTGATGGCTCTGAAGATGGACATGCTGCTGGCCCAATTAGAGAGGTTGGTAACACCTCTGTGATGACATATTTAAGAAGAAAATCAAAGCAGTGCACACGCAGTTTTTTCCAGGGGTGGCGATGCTGCCAACATCTCAGTGTGGCCCATGGTGAGCCTTGCCTGCCTGGCCGCCTCTAGCTAGCCATGCCGCAGGCAGAAGGGCAGGGGCAGCAGCAGTGGCTTCTCCTTCCCGGCGCCCTGCATGAAGAGAGGTGTTAAATAGTGCCAGTGCTGCAGTGGCCGCCACTCCCCACATGGTGGCAATGGGGCCACCTGGCCAGCAGTGGAAACATGACGAGTGACTCCCTGACATGAAACCTAGACGAAGTCAACCTCTCGGTGCTGTGGGATCCTGCAAGAATCTTTGTATTGGTAAAACTTGTTTGCAATGGTACCTATGGGCAGCATCTTTTCTTCTAGTCAGAGAAGAGGAGGAAGTGAGGATATGTGAGGGAAACAACATGGCGATACCAAGGTCAGTGGTAAAAGAAGGGGAGAAGGTGCTCCAAGCACCAGAGCTGAGATTCCTCTGCAGGCCGTGGTGAGAACTGCAGTAAAGTAAGCTGTACCCCTGCAGTCCATGAAGTCCACTGAGGATGCAGAGATCCACTAACAGCCCATGAGAGAAGTACTCACACCAGAGCAGGTGGATGCTGGAGAAATCTATGATCCAGTGGGAGAGCTGAATAGAGAGAGAGGACCCTTGCTTCCAAACTAGAGCAGCCTGTCCTTAGGGGACTGCACCCTGTGGACAAGTAACCCACGATGCAGCAGTTTTGGAAAGACTGTTTGCCCGTGGGAAGGACTCATGTTGCAGCAATTTTGGCAGGACTGCTGCTTGTGAGATTGGAGCCATGCTGGAGAAGTTAATGGAGAGCTGTCTCCAGTGGGAGGCTGCCGGTGCTCCTCTCCCCGACGCCCTTCCTCAGCCCCGGCTAGCTCTGGGGAGAGGGGCGGGCAGGTTTCTAGCGCTTCCCGCTGGACCCTCGCAGGCTTTGGGAAGTGCTATCGGAGTTCCAGAGAGCAGCCAGCGACCCCACGGCGAATTACGAGGAGAGTCTTTCTCTGGGGGCGAATTCCGTTTATTGTAATCCAACGGGGAGTACAATAACTCGAAGGGGACCAAGCGTGCCGCGCCGGGGTTTGCCGGAAAGGCGCGGGCAGGGCGGAACGCACTGAAGCCAGCCAGAAGAAAGCACAAAAAGAACCGCACAAGCGAATTAAATACGGAATGGGGGAAAACTGAACAGCCAATGGGGTAAAACCGCAGGAGGTTCGAGGGTGGTGGGATACAGGGGTACATCCAATGAAGGATAGACAGGGGAAGGGTCCCAGGTCCTTTACCAATCACCCGGCGTCCCGGGTGGAAGATTCTAGGTGGATGGGAAGGGACACCGAGTAACAGACAGGCATCTGGGGTAAACAGGGGGATGACTTAGCATTTTTGGGGATAACGGACACGCGGGGAAAAGGCAGGAAAACCCGGGGAGAAACCGTTACAGAACTGGGGGTACATGGAACAAACCTATACATAATACAAATGTAATAAAACATAAAAAACACAACTCCACAACATGCAAATAAAAGAAGCTGAAAATTTAGCTAAAAACACTGCAGAAGAAAAATTAATAGTAAATGCTGAAAACCACAAATCACATCATATTGGAAAAAAATAATCAAGGGAAGTCCACAGTATCACACTTTATTTTGGATAAATATACTTTGAGTCTGGTTTCTAGGGATGATGTGCATAACAAATAAGTCACCAATCCTAATGAAATAGTCCAAACCCAATTGCAAGACATTTTGGACAATAACCAGTTCTTAAAATGAGAATGAAAATCCAAAAGAGAGATTTGAATCCCTTTGAGAATAGTCCTAATTGTTTTGAGTTTGCCAAGCACAGTTGCAGTCAAGCACCAGAAGATGCTGGAAAAAAATACTCCTTTTGAAAACACTTTAAAAAATTTTGTCAGCAGAAAAGCATCTCACAGGAACTATTTTCAAGATACAAGGCAAATCTCAATAGTCTGCAAATGCTAGTGAAGTAGAAAATGGGGATATCAGGTTTTAGATGAAGATTCTTTTACATTGTTAGATGCATGATCTTTTAAGGTTACAAAACTAAGTCATGTTTCTACTATAAGGTAACATATTTTAGCAAGAAATGACACAGAGCCAATCAGAAGGTTAAGTGGCGTAAGCCCCTCATCTTTATTGAAACCGCTTCTTTTTATACACTGGTTGATAGAGGTGGACCTGATTGGTCATTTAATCAATACATTTCACCTGATTGGCTAATTAACAAGACACCCATTTATAAACAATCTTATGAGAATAACAAGAAAACAGATATTAGAAAAGCACCACCTGCAGGTTGTTTTTAATAATTGGCTGTCATTGCTTATCTCCAGCTCCCTAAAGCTTCCCAGGCTGATTCTGGGAAAATTTATCTAGCTTCTCTCTCTCTGACCAGGTTGTCACATCCACAGGGACTCTATAAGGGAATTTAGGATTGTAGTTAAAAACTAAAACAACCAAATCATGCAAAGCAGTGATTAGAAAACGAAGTGAAATCCTTGACTGAACCTATATATCAATATATAATAGAATACATTGTGTATGGTATTTCCCTGTGTAAAACCATTACTAGAGACAATATCAATATATGTCCACACTTTAAAAACCTGTATTGATAAACTGAAAAACCTACAAAACATTATAGTTTTTCTATGTGTGGAAAGCCTGCCCTACACAAACTAAACAAACTTACAGTCTAATTTAACAGGAGATTAAGAAAGGACTTGACATTTATGTGCAGAGAATTTTCTGATGATACGGAGTTCTATCATGTACAGCTTCTAACAAGATCATCAGTTGAAGAGAAAATCAGACAAAATTTAAGCTAGCAATAAGATTTTTTTAAGAGGTCATAAATAACTATCACAATATTTTACTTAAGCACAAAATGGATTCTCTATTATTCAAAAACCCTACATTAAAATGTGATGTTCTAGTTAAATTAGAAGTTATGGATTAATGCAAGAATCTCTGTAAAAGCCTATGATGTATTACATAGAAGGTCAATATCATGCAGTCATACTTAATTCTTTCTGACCTCAGCATCTATTATTTTTTGCATTGTGTATAAATATAAAAACAAATAGTATAATATAAAACAAGTTTCAGTCCAACTTGCTGAAAGCAAGTCAAACAATTTTCCCATTTCAGACTGACTGCACTGATTTATTTATTCTGATTGACATTATGCTGTGAAAAACAAAATTTCTTCTGGAAAGAGACATTCATATGATCTTTCAAAATTAAATACAGTTTTATTGGGAAATGACTGC